CTGGTTTTCACCATGGGTATTCCATTTGTTTATGTATTAATTGTAGACCAAATAATATGATATGATCACAATATGGTGCTCTGCTGCATGAATATCAGGCCATCTATAAAGATCAGGGAAATAAAGAAACCAGTACCCAGAATACACCCTATTAATTGGAACACCTCTGACTAGCTTCTTAGGAGCATGCATTGGGGCCAATTATTCTCCGCGTCAGATTCGGTCATAGCCCCAGACGAATTCGCGAAAAATATCATCACATGTACGGACATCCTAGCGCCTTCGACGAACGTAAACACAGACTCCTTTGACGGCCGATACAAAAGCTCATCCAAAGTCGCTTTTAAGCTTACGAAGTTGGGATCACTGCACTGAAAGCTTACTGAAACTTGAGCACCAAACTTAACAATCCAGCATTGCCGAGGAAACCCTAGCCATCACGAATACAGAGAAAGCTCGTGCCCTGATGCAGTTACTCGGAAGAACAAATCCGACAAGACACAACGAAATTCCAAACCTAATTTTTAACGACAGTAGGGCAACAGACAATCTAGTCCAAATATGTCATTCGATCAATTCCTTCTTTGCCACCTCGTTTATTACTGCATCATCCGCATCCTTTTCTTCTCCTTCCAAGGGAAACGAAAGAGGTACTATGTACTATCCCTCTGAATCGAAAGAACATACAGATGACTATAACATGTAGCAAACTGACTTTCCAACCGGGACCTGATGCTATTCTTATGCACCTATAATGTTAGGTAGTAAAAACATACCCCTCCGTTATGTTGAACCTTTTTACACCCTCATTAAACACTGACTGCTTCCCGCCCCATTGGAAAAATTCCATAATTATGCCGAAACACAAAGGCGGTCCACGAGATCACATGTCAAACTATCGACCTCTAAGACCTTAGAAAGAATCATCAAGACTCGAGTAACACAGTCCCTGACAAGACAAAACCTACTCATCAGTTTCCAACATGGGTTCACTACAAGACGTTTTTTTGTCACATGCCAATTACAATTCCTCGATCATGTTACGACAACCCTAGATGGTGGCATGGCCATCATCATCCTTCTGGATATGCGAAAGGCGTTTGACTGTGTACCGCACAAACCATTGTTGGCCGTGCTTAAGTCATATGGCATCAACAACCCTCTGTGGAGTTTTGGTTCGAGCTATATCTGAATAACCTAACACAAAGAGTACAGGTTGGTCAATATTGTTCTACTTCCAGAAATGCCACGAGTGTTGTCGTTCTGAGCCGTGTATTGGGCCCATTGCTTTTTCTCATTTACACAAACGATATATGTGATTATATTAAACACGGGCGCCCATTTTTATTTAAGGACGACATCAAACTAGTGTACGCCTTTCTACCGGATCACCTGGGACTATACCCTAACAAATATACGCGAAGACCTATCATCCCTAAACAATTGGAGCGAAAGCAGGTCATTGAAGTTTTCGGCAGATACTGTCACGGATGCGGTATACCAGGAGGATCCATCACTCTTATTGGTACCCCCATCCTGACTCCCTGTTCCGTTCGAGCCTTGGGTATTCGATATTCCAGCAGCTTCAACCCCGAATACATCCTACATCAAGTAGCGGAAGCGAAGGAACTAACAGGTTACATCACTAGATTATTTTCAATTTTCCAACCACGACTTGAATCATTCAAACTCATAGTGCGCCCCACTCTAGAGTATTGCACCATCATACAGATGGAGTTGCTTCGAGAAACGTCCAGCTCTCCTTTACCAAATTGGTCAGGGGCGCTCATCAACTTATGAGGACCGATATTCCTGCCTCCAGCTTGATCCACTGTTCCTTCGACGGCTTAAAAACAATCTCACTCCTCTCTACAGTATAATATACTCGTGGGCTTTCTCAACCAGTATGGCCGTCGCTTTATATAATTGCTTCGTTTGTCCCACTCGTAAGGGGAAATGTCTACTATACTTACAGAGGACTATGCAAAATATCCGCTTAAAATTCTTGGTTAGATGCGCTCATTTCTGGAATAAACTACCGTTGCAATTAAGAACCAGCAAGAGCATGTCTGTTTTAAGATCTCATTTAAAAACTTTTCTTTCGTTGTCAACTATGATCAGACTATTCAACCTTCGGCAATCTACGAGCGCGCTCATGGAATCCGGCCCGAAAAACGGATGATAATATTAGTTATCAAATAATGTTAATTATTGCATATTCAACGAAACCTTACCAAACTATGTCATATTGCTTGCAGTTCATAAATGAAATGATGACGAAACTCGCTGTACAACTACTTGTTCCACAAAGTTGAACATATCCTGGTCGTCAGGAAATATACCCATTTATCTGTATATTATTTATTTAAATGTCATAAGAGCGTCGTACGCGCGTAGTTCGAGCAGAGTGAGGGTTAATAGCAAACTGTCGCTGCCCGTTGATATCACCAGCGGTGTGAAACAAGGCCACCCACTGACACCTTTCCTTTTTAACTTCACCATAGACTAAGTCATGGAAATTGCGTACACTGGACACGACCTACAATGCGTGGAGCTGCTTCCTGATGATCGACTTCTTGACTTGGAGTACACCGACGACGTTGTCCTAATCTGTGACAGTTCCCAGACGTGCCAAGCAGCAGCGGATAAATTAGCACTGGCTGTCAGTCGTTCCGGGCTATGCTCTGCACCATCGAGATGAAAAGTTCTTCTGCAAGATTGGCAGGTTTCCACCCGTTCACCGACTTTCGATGGTGATCAGATAGAAGACTTTCAGAAATTCAAGTATCTAGGCAGCTAACTTAGCGCTTGTGGAATCAGAGATGAGATCACTAATCGTATAGCAAAAGCTCTAGGCGCTTTTGCCAATCTCCGCTACCTGTGGCGCCGGCGCGACATTACTCTCGCCCTAAAGGGCAGTGTTTACAATGCAGTCGTCCGTTCAACCCTCTTGTACGGTTGCGGAACCTGGCTCATCAAATCAACAAACCTATAAAGGCTACTTACCTTTGATCATCCTTGCTTTCGCAGCATAGCCTACATATGTTGGGAACACCGCGTGAGCAATGAGCGTGTTCGGTGTCGTGTGTTTGGTGCAGGAAGACCGAGTGAACCAGCCCCGTTATTTCCCTCATCAGGCTCCGATGGCTGGGCCACATGTTGCGCATGCCAGCACACCGACTCCCGCTACTGACATTGTTTGCGTGACCGGGGTCTGGGTGGAAGAAAAGGAGGTGAGGCTAATCGATGACTTGCTCGAGAGGAATGAAGACCTTGACTTCGAAGTTTATTAATGAAATTCTCCCCAGTAAAACCCCAGAAGGCTCTATCACACATGCCGGAAACGTGATCCCAACGTCTGATTCAGTTCGGGACTTAGGAATTAGCTACTCCAACTCTTTCAATTTTTCCGGACATGTGCTTTATTGGATTGCGAAAGCAAAGTAGTTATGCGGATATATCACCAGCTTTCTCCCTACCTGAAGCACGACTTGAGTCATTCAAGTTTACAGCCGACTGAGAAAGAAAGACAGAACAACCCTGGAAAATGTCCAACGATCATTTACCAAGCTGGTCATGGGGCGCTGCTCAAACCTGACTTAGTATGATCGCTGTCGACAACTGCAATTGGATCCTCTTTGGCTGAGAGGCTTAAATAACAACCTCTTCTCTTCTACAAGATTATAAACCAACGAATTTACTCAGACAGCACCGCACTTGAACTACGGAAGACTGCAGTCTGCTCAACACGTACTGGCGGCTACTTGATATGCACAAAGCTTACAAGTCATAAAACTATCGAATTCTTTTCTTAATGAGATACATCGATCTGTGGAACAAAGTACCCCTACAGATACGCATGAGTGCAAGCTATGTCACATTTCGAAATTCCCTACAGATCTTCGTCACTATATCAAATGTGTTGAAAATCTTTGACTCACAACTAACTCTAGAAACACTGACAGAAGCTGGTATAAAAACATGAGCAGATATTTGCTTAGAACTAGCTTACCCACTACATGTTATTAACTACAATACCAAATCCTATGTCTGTGCAACCTAGTATCCCCTCCCTTTTATTATCTACTTCTGAGCCCCACAAACTAGAAAATGATGTTACAAATATCGGTAAACTTTACAAATTAGTTGCTCGGGTCTAGGACCCGAGGAAAAAAATCATGATCCAAGATTCTGTTATTTAACTTTCGTTTACTATTATGATTTACGCCGCATAAACCATGAAACTTATCCATTATACAAATGATCGCTCCCGCTTATGGGGCCGTGTACCGTTTGTCGGTAAATATACAATTTTAAGTTGGCGTCGTTTGGTGCCTCTTGACTGGGGTCCGAAAAACGAAAACTTAAAATAATGATCATGCCTCTACAGGCGTGCCCCGCATTGTCGAGAATAAACGATTTATTTATCTATAGTGCTTTGTAATGAAATCTCGAACCCAATTCATTTTACTGAAGCCAACTGTCTAACTACTTTTATACCATGTAGTTTTTCCGCACTACTGGTGCGAAATACTGGAAATGCACGCACTTTAGTGTGTAGACTGTTTTTGCTATCAAGTTACCGAGACTTCGTGAGGTGTTACACTTCGGAAGCAGGGACCATCATCTTAGTCAGATCTTGTGGCGCGATCTCCATGGTACTTTTACTGTGCTGCCAGACGCGTATCTGGTAGTTAACATAACGAATCTCTGACCTCGAAATATAGAGTTGGTCAACAGTTCAACTGAGCCGCACCCAGTGGCTACAAAGAAAGAAATTGGAGCTCCTTCCTTATCTCCAAGGCTTGTGTCTGGCAACGCATACAGTACCATGGGACCGCAAGGTCATTTCGAATTTTTAACTTCTCTGTTGCTCATCTTCGCTTGGTGAACCGCTGTCCGAATTTAGGAGTTCACATGCTGTAATAAGCTTCGTTTGATTAACACGTTTCCTTCGTTTCTCTTTGACATCACTCATTAAGATTTTACATCCCTTTCAGGCTACTGTCGTTTATCTGAAGAAAGAGAATTTCATGTACCAGGCTTGCCCCACTGAAGGATGTAACAAAAAAGTTATGGACTTGGGTCATGGCATGTACCGATGCGAGAAATGCGCTCGTGAAACCCCGAACTTCAAGTGGCGGTTGTTGCTAACGGTGCGTCTGTCTGCACATCTCAATCATTTAGATTCCTCTTTTATGACATCCATGTTTTCACGATTCCCATTCTTGCATTTCACTGGTTTGTTCGAAAATCGAGTGCCTTATCCGGAAGCAGAAGGACATGTGCTGACTTATCAGCATGCGCTTTATCGACAGATGTCCAAAATGTGACGGATTGATTAGCATACTGCGAGGTTTTCGGATCCTACCACTTTTACAGCATGATTCCATTTTCATTCCTGTCCTTTTCCGCGTAAACATGTTGCTGGTACCACTGTTGTACGCTAGCCACAGAACAACACTTAGCAGCTTCCCACCTCTTTTTTAGTCATTTTGCACCATTTGTTTCTCGAAGTTCCCTTATCATGAGCACGGTTAGACATGCGGTCACAACATCCCATCTCTCCATAACTGAGTAAAACTGCTCTTCGGGCTTACTCTGGTCATTTATTTTCAGGAGTGGCAATGAAGCTAGTACCTCATATCACAGCTGAACCAACTGTGAATATACTTTTATTTACATAGTGACCGCATATTCTTCGTCAGAGAAGCCAACGGAGCACCTGACATCCACGACGCAGTTATTGCTGTGTTTATTTGTCTGGTCGGTTGTCACATTGCCTATCAGTTCAGGATCGCCGCGCACCTGTACCATCATGATTTTTGTTTCACTCATGTCCACGAAATCACTCAGGTAATCTTTGGTCACTACTGCTCACGTTTAGGCTTATGAATAAGTTCTCTGTTTTAAGCGTTGTGTTACACTTTGTCTGAGCCAAATAATGGCGAGAAGTTCTTTTTTCTTCAACTTCATGGCGTATCGGTAGTTTTCATTCGATCCCTCCATAATTCCATCGAGCGACGCGGAGCGTTGTATTTTCATGCGTCATCTCTGATGTTCATCTTTTCCGCTAACGTTTGTATGGTTGGTTTTACTGAATCGTCCTTGTTCAATTACTTACACCGTATTCGGCTATTCCGCTCATATGCACTCTTCTTAATCCTATAAAATCAATGGAGGCCGCGGCGTAAGCCATCAACTAATGTATCTTGGTTTCGACTTTCATCTTTATCGGAATGGTCCACATCTGGATGAACTCAGTCATGGAACGTCGTGTTTAGAGAGTGCAGCACCGAAACCCCACTTCGGATGAGGTCCCGGTTTGCTATAACATAAGCCGCGGCCTCAACCGAGATTGCAAGTCGCGATCTAGACACACGGCGCGTACTCCAATATCCAACAGCAGAAAATTACTGTTCTAACTTTACTGGATATCCTTCATTCTGATTTTTGGTTACACGTCAGTCTGCGCTACGAATATGAATGGAATAGCAAAAATGGTATCATCAGTACGATGGTATGCAGTACCGACGCTCCGCTGCCGCGAGACCACCATCGGTCTCAAATGGGCTAAGGATACTGCGAGGGTCTCCCTGCCCCACGCAGGCTCGAACCTGCGCCGTCAGGTTACAAGACAAGCTCGTCTCCTTTAGGCTACGGGCCCGCCGCTACGAATAAGACCCTCTGATATTTGCATATTTGACTCTGCTTGTATTGCTGTTACATTTTCCCAGTTATCTACGTGAGCACTTCACTGGTTTATCCCAACAAAGTTTCTCTTGTCTTTTCGGTTTTGTTTTTTGCTCAGCTGTTACTGATTTACTTGATCAAGTAGTCACCATTCAGTCAGTGCGCACGCTTGTGTCATTTCACACCTTTTGAGTAGCTTGGGGTGTGTTTTGCAGTGTGCATTTTCGTTTTGTCTACTTTCTTTCTCCCATTGCATCTCGTCTCTCACTGTGTCGCTTTGTGGTTTCAGATCAAGACCGCAGACATGACTGGAGACTTGTGGGTTACCTGCTTTCAAGATGCCGCTGAACAGTTACTCGGTCACAGTTCAGAAAGTTTGGGGGCTATGAAAGATTCCCAGGTTTGTTACCCTTTGACATTTCATCAGTCCAACAGGACTTGCATTTTTTTGTTGGCATGTCTATTGCAGTCGATCTTCCACGTTCCAATTCGTCCACATCATAAGAGCTGTGCACAAGCCTTTAGTGGTATTCGCTACTTCGTTTTTAGCTAGAACACTGATTTGCATAATGCTAGCTTCCTCACTTTGCAAATGCTATCCCGTGCACTATTCCACGGAACTGCATCCGGTGGCTGCTTTTTTAATCAAACGGCGGCCTCATGTTCAGTGTTTTCTGTCCGTTTGCTCCCATTTGACTCTGATTCTTTCTAAACCTCTGATGTCCAATCTATAGTCTTCATCATCATCATCATTTCTTCTGTCGTAGCAATTATCTCGTTGTGGCACCTGTTGGCTTTTTACACATAGACTTATGATAGGGAGGTGTATATGGCCGCTTGACACTCCTATCTTTAAATAATAATAATTATAGGTATATTTCTCATCAAGTGAGCAGCTGCGTCCATATTTAGCACTGATCATTTATGTACAGGCAGTACCATGCTCTTGCATGGGTAATACAGCGGGATCACATAGAATAGATTATTTTCATCGAGTTTTCCAGAGCATTTCTCAAACTAGTTTTAAGGGGTTGGGCTACTTGATCGGCCGAGTGTTTCAGGAAAATTGAGAGATAATAATAAAATAATAAATGTGGCTAAATTCAAATGTTCAAATGTAATTCAGCCATTCATGGAACCGTCTCCTAGGGACCTGCTTCTGTGCGTAGTATTCCCTCGAAAGATTTTACCCGCACTTCCATGCTCCTTGCTGCGTGCCGGTGTGGCTTTTGATGCAGGTGAGCTATCACTTATTTAACTCATCTTTAACTCTGATTTTATGTGTAAATGGTGTGGAAACTGATGCCACCTTGCCTGTACCATCAATCGTTTTTTTAGTCGAGCCTTTTTTCTCGCCAGGGAGCCAATGCAATGCGCCTTGCATGGGTATAATTATTAGCTCTGATAGCTTCAATCCGTTACCTCAGGAGATCGACCCAGTCGTGGCGAACAATGAAGTACAGAGGAATATAACATATGTGGAGGTAGAAAGTTAGTAACAGTGATGATAACTAATAAAGAAATATCCTATTTCGCCATAACGCGAGAAAGGCCTACTCATTTTCTGATCAACTGATACAAGCGGAATTGTCAAAAACAGATGATTACTCGATTTGTCAATAAGCAAGGCAGCACTGTAAAGAATTCTCAGGTTCATCTATAAATTGCATGCGTTCGGAAAATACAGAAGTTGCAATCGCTGAGCAATGAGGCTTGCTCTCTGTTCCTCGGCTGTCGCTCCCAGGAGAAAGCAATAAATCTTTACCGTTACAAAACAAATGTAAAAAAGAGTATCGATAGTGAGCGATACGAACCATGTGATTAATCCGATCAAGTTTTGCAAATGGATCATCAAGTATAGTTTTTGGGTCGATGCTTCAGTGGTTCAGCTATTTGGGCAGCTGAGGTGTATAGGAATCGTTATCGATGGATGCTAGAATCACTCCGTAGTTTGTGTGTGTACACCTCCGAATAAAAAGAGGTTAGTTAGAAATAGGTATTAAGGTTGTTTCACCAATAAGCAAGATGTGGTAGAGATGGATTGACTTCGAGTCAGCGCATTTTGTTATTTACTGTATAACGCTCGGCCCTTCCTGACACGACGTCTTTATACTGACGTCCATGTTAAGCAAGTCTTACTTTATTTATTCTACAGATAACCCCCTTTGAGCTGTAGGTTCTCAAATTCTGCGATAACTCCTTCCACATAACTGCGTAGCGGCTAACGAGATGTAACATTAAGCTAGTTCGTGCTTTTCCGATTTGTAATGTGTCATATCTATTCCTTACATTGTACTTAAGGGAAAGTTGAAGTACCACCTCGATGTCTGAGGTAAAGACGCGTTTGTGGATCATATCAAACATGAAGCTCAGATTGTTTTAGTCACCTTAACCAGAGGGGCTTTATGTTCAACTCACAGCAGGAGTCATAATACGATTACCAGAGTTCCTTACTAGACACTGTACAGGAGCGCCGTACATTTTCTGTTGCACTTTTGTCACATTTTCTCTGGTTGGAGTATATTAATTAGTAATAATCTAATAGGGGACAAATATGAATTTTATATAGGTAAATTTTGGATCCATCCAAAACAAAGGATTTTAATATTAGCCCTCCTCGTTTATGGACATTTGCAACAGTATACTGGACCTGTTCGGCGAAATTGAGGCAGCTTGTGTAGTACAGCCCAAGATCACGAATTGAGACAGGTGAACAGTGTGTTGCCTTCTAGCATCAACGAATTTGTTACAATACTGCACCAATATCATATGCAGTTGAACTTTTGGATGAAATTTCGATTCCCCAGTTTCTGCACCAAGTTTCCAGCTCGTGCAGATCCGCTTGTAGATGGGTTGAATGAAAAGTTTTAGACCTCAACAAAACCGAACGCGACACAGAGTCTTCGATGCTTTTATTTTTCAACATAATCACCATTAAGCGCAACACACTTGCTCCAGCGGTGCTGAAGCGCCTTTATCCCAGCGGAAAAGAACTCTTCAAATTGCGACTGTAAGAACGCTTCCACGGCTTCATTGACATCACTGTCGTTGAGAAAATGTTTGCTAGCTAAGGCTTTTTTGAAAATAGGTGGAACTCAGAAGGAGCCAGATCTAGTGAATAGGGTGGGTGAGAATGAAGCTGGAAACCGCAATCATGGGTTGTTTTCTGAGCAGTAGAATTGTTGTGGGCTGGAGCATTGTCGTTTGGGAAAACATCACATGTTGTCAACATTCCCGGCCTTTTTTTCTCGAATTTCTTCTCTGAGGCGTTTCAGAAGCTCAGATTAATACTTTCCGTTGATGATATGGTTTTTTTCAAGGAAGTCACTCATCACACCTCGAAAACCCCAGAAAAACGAATGCCGTCATCTTGCCAACTGACGGTGTAACCTTGGTCTAGGAGCTGATGCCCACTTCCATTGCTTTGATTGTTCTTTTCCTTCTGGTTGAAATTGATGAACTCAGCATTCATCCATAGTGATGGGTCGTACAAGAAAATCATCGGCATCTGCTCAAACCGTGCCAAATTGTTCTTTGACGTCACGTCAAATGTGCTTCTGTTCAGGTATCAGAAGACGTGGCACCCATCGAGCAGCAACTCTTGAGTAGCCTAAGTCATTCGTCAAAATATTATCTGCTTACTCCTGGGAAAGGCCCAACCTCTCTCCTACCTGACGAGTTGTAAATCGGCGATCTTGTATGATCATATTCATTACTAGGTCAAGATTTTCTTCGGTGGTGGCAGTTTAAGGTCTCTCTGATCTTGTTTCATCTTCAATACTCACCCGGCCGCGCCTAAACTCTTGCACCCAACGTTTAACTGTAGCATATGATGGAATATTATCATGCAATGTATTGAGTATATGTTGGTGGATCTCAGATGGTGACATTCCTTTGAAATAGAAATATTTGATCACTGTACGATGCTGCAACACCTCCATTTTCACCAAATTACAGACCCTGTTCACTTCAAGTATCTGTTAATATGATAGTAAAAGAGATAGAAACATGAATTTGTATACTATAAATAAGGAAAAGTGGTGGGCTATAAATAACTTTATTTCGCTTGGTTGGCTGTCCCATTCCTGTGCCAGACCTGAAACTTTCCATTCAACACGCGTATGTCGGCTAACGCATTACTCATATTGTCCGAATGAAATAAACAGTTTTTCTGTCATCGACGAATACATCATTAATCCACCTCAAAATCAAGTGGCCCTAGTACGCTTCCTTGGATTATGCCACTTGTGACTTGTCTACTTTTGGACATACTGTTTAGTATTTCGACTGCTTGATGCCGATCGGAAAGGTGCGATGATATCCAAGAATGTAAATTGCCAGTGATGCTGATGGAATGTACTTTAGACAGAAGCTCTCCATGTGGTACCTGATCGAATGCTTTACCCATATCAAAGAAGACGAAAGTCAGGCGCTTACCACGATCATTGGAATGAGTAACGAGCTTTAGAAACTGTACTTGACATGTGCATCACGGCGTTCTCGGAAATCCGTGCTGGGAAATGTTGATCAAATTCCGGGACGATAGGAATTTGATGATTTTAGCTTTTATTGCTCTTGCCATTGTTCTACACAAAATGGAGGTATGGCTGATAGACTGATGGTTCGTAGGTATTTGACGTGCGCCACTTTTATATCTTGATGCAACCAGCTCTTATTTCCACGCATCTGGAACAACCCCAGGTCTCATGAATGACGTAAGCATATTTTGAAGCAGTATGTTGATATCAAGGCCTCCGAAATGGAGCACAGCAGACAATGGTCCATCTTGACCAGGACTAAAGCTCGATCTCTTTGTGTTGATAAAATTCTTTATATTCGATTGTTCAAATTCAACAGTACTGATGATGTTTATTACCGGTAACATGAACCGCTCTGTGGAAAGCGATGAGAAGTATTCACTGAAATATTCACACATCTCTGCCTGATTTGTAGAAAGACAGTTGTCAGTGTAATGTAAGCTGGTACGTCATGCTTGAAGTTGCCTTTGAGCTGAAATAATCTGGTCGTTTCCTTGGGTTTGGTACGGGAGGCTAAGCGTTGCTCGCATCTCGAGATGTTTTGAGGATAGATTCGTTTCTATTTATTACGTTATTTAGATTTTGTTGAATTAACAGATTAAAATTGTTGATCTTTTTAAATCTGTATCTTCGCTTCTTCAACTTTCATGTTATATGCGGCGGGTTGGAGTTCTAATTCATCTTGAGGGAAGTACGACTGTGACGCATCAGGGAGAAGATATCCATACAGGAAATTAAGTTATTATACAGTACATCAGCTGCATTTTTTGGTTAAGGGAAAAGGAAATAATTATCCCAGCTTAGCGATAGCAAGTTGGTTACAAATCTTTCCGCTTTATACTTGAATAGTCACGGAAACTTG